CTGAGGCAGGAGGACACAGAGTTGGAGGCCAGCCTTGGCTACCTCATTAAGTTTGAGGCCAACCTAGGCAACATAAGGTCCTGTCTCAAAGAGACAAACATGGTGGGGGAGGGAGATGGATCAGTGGACAAAAGCCCTTGTTGCACAGGTCAGGTTCGGACTGAACCCAGGCAAAACCAGACCCAGTGTGGGGCATCTGTAACCCCAGCACTACTGTGGTGAGATGTGAGAATGGGCGAATCCCCCAAAAGTTCACAGACTAGCCAAACTATAGTACGTAGCTCAGGCGCAAAAGGAACAAGAGAGCCTGGGCTTGAACAGACAGCTCAGTGGTTAAGAATGCTGGTAGCTCTTGCAGAGGATCTGTGTTCAATTACCAGCAACCATATGGTGGCTACAGCCATCTGGGAGTCCAGTCCCAGGGGATCCACCCTCTTCTGGCCTCCTAGAGCTCTATGCACCTGTACTACATAGACATACTAGCAGGCAGAGCATTCACACATAAAAATAAAGTGCTGCGCAGTGGTGGCGCACACCTTAATCCCAGCACTCAGGAGACTGAGGCAGGAGGATCTCTGAGTTCAGCCAAGTCTACAGCTCAAGTTCCAGGACAGCCACGGTGGTTACACCGTGACTCAAAACCAAAAAAGAAAAAAGGAAAGGAATAAATACTGATCATGCTACAGAATGGATGAGCCTTGGGGATATTATAGTAAGAAGTAGGTGAAAGGAGCCAGATGCAAAAGGACTCATATTTTTATGAATCTATTTGTGTGAAATGCCTGGACTGGGAAAATATAGAGATCAGAAAGATTAATAGTTAGATGAGGCTAAGGGTGACGTAAGGATTTAGGAGGATGTGACCCATAGAGTGCAAAGAGAAATGTCCTAAAACATTAGGTATCACATCATACCATCAGGATGACTTCTTTCCCAACAGACAAGAATATAACATGGATGAGTGAATATGATGATTGCCACCCAGCTCCACGAATATACAAAAAAATGAGCAAATACTTTAAATGAGTGTGTGTGGTATAGCATGTGAATTGTACCTTAGTAAAGCCATGAGGGGGGAAATTCAGTTTTGTTAGTATTCTAGTCAAAGCCCTAGACTAGACTAAATGGCATTTACTAGACTAAATGCCACTACCCTCGCAGTGGAAAAAGACAGCGCCAGGGATACTGCTTAGTTAGAGTGCTCTGGTACAAATGGAGTCTTGGGTCCAAGCCCCAGCACCACATAAATCAGGCCTGAAACCCTAGCATTTGGGAGGTGGAGGCAGGAAGATCAAAAGTTTAAGGCCTTTGGCTGCACAGCAAGTTCCAGGCCAGCTTGGCTATGTGAGACCCTGCCTCCAAGAAACAGAAAGGAAAGGGAGGGAGGGAGGGAGGGAGGGAGGGAGGGAGGGAGGGAGGGAGGGGAGGGAGAGAAAGGATGGGAAGGGAAGGGAGGAAGAGAGGAAGGAAGGCAGGCAGGCAGGAAGGAAGGAGTAGAAGGTGTGTATGTGTGTGAGGGTGGAGACTAGGCTAGAAAGATGGCTTAGCCTTTAAAAATACTTATTGTTCTTACAGAGGACCCAGGTTCTGTTCCCAGCCCCCACTCCAGTGCTCACAGCAAGCTATGATTCCCATTCCAGGGGCCCTGAGCCCCCCCCTGGCCTCCACAGGCACCACCACATGCAGGCACACACATCACATATAATTAAAAATAATAGGCCTTGCATGGTGGTACAGGCTTTTAATTCCAGCACTTGGGAGGCAGAGGCAGGAGGATCTCTGTGAGTTGGAGAACAGCCTGGTCTACATTGTGAATTCTAGAACATTCAGGACTACATAGAAGAGATTCTCTTTCAAAAAGAATTAAACTTTTAATTTTTTTTTTATCGGCATGAGTGTTTGTTCACGTGTCTGTGCACCTTGTGTGTACAGACTCTGAGGCCATCAGATTCCCTGGAACTGGAGTCCTAGATGATTGTGAGGCACCACATGGGAACAGAACCCAGGTCCTCTGCAAGAGCAATGAGTGCTCTTAACCGTGGAGACATCTCTCTACCCTCAGAAAGAAATTTAAGGGAAGTCTTGCTGTCAACTCAGCCATACCAGCTGAGACTTAGGGACACAAGCACACTCCGACATTATGGCATCCTTACCACCTGCTCCTTCTTTATGTACTCTTCCCACTGTGGGGGGGGGGTTCTCACTCCTACACCTATATTCAAATGTTTGATTGTTTATAGGTGGAGTTTCTCTGTGTCCTGGCAGCTGCTCCCAAATAACCACACAGAGACTTATTGTTAATTATAAATGCTTGGCCAATAGCTTAGACTTGTTTTTAACTAGCTCTTATAACTTAAATTAACCCATGTCTATTAACCTATGTGCTGCCTCCAGGCTGGCTTACCTCATCTATGAGCTTCCCATGTTGCTTCTTCTGAGTCTGGTTCTCACGGCTCCCTGACTCCACCCCTTCTTCTTCCCAGCATCCTATCCACCTCCTGTCTAGCCATCATCCAATCAGCGTTTTATTAACATTGAGAGCAGTGTCCAAAAAAAAGAATTGTTTTGCTACATGCATTGTTTTGTTTTTATGTATATTGGTGTTTGACCTACATGTGTGTCCGTGGGAAGGTGTCTGATATCCTGGTACTGGAGTTATAGACCATTGTGAGCTGCCATGTAGGTACAGGGAATTGAACCTGGGTCCTCATTTTGACAGTTTCATTGTGTTGTCCAGGTTGACTTTGAACTTCTAGACTCAAATGGTCCTTCTGCCTCTGACTCCGAAGTAGCTGGGACCATAGATGTGCCAATATGTGCTACCACATCCAGCTAAATAATTTTTCTGCCCTACGGATGTGACCGGGATATAGAGTGATTGCCCAGAATATATGGGACCCTGGATTCAATGCCCACACTGATAAATAATGTCACTTTTTTTTTTTTATGGTCATGGCTGTCTTGGACCTCACTATGTAGTCCAGACTGGCCTTGAACTTACAGAGACTCTCCTTCTTCTGCCTCCTGAGCGCTGGGTTTAAAGCTGTATACCACCACACCTGGCACATACCCCAGCTCTCTTAAGACAGGGTTTCATGAGTGGCTCAGGCTGGCCTAGAACTCTCTGTGCAGCCCAGTGTGGCCTTGAACTTGCAATCCTCTAACTTCAGCCTCCAGAGTGCTTGCATTCCATGTCTGAATCAACAAACCCTGCTTTAGGAAAAGGATATTCATGGCTAAGATTTGAATAGGCAATAAGATTTGATCCATTAATTCGCTGGTGTCCACTTTCACATCTCTGAGGTGTCTGTGTGAACGCATGTACACCACAGTAGTTCGGGAGCCTATGGAGAAGAGGGTATTGAACCTCCTGGAGTTACAGATGGTTGTGAGCTGCCACGTGGGTGCTGGGAACTGAACCTGTGTCCTCTGCAAGAGCAGCCAGTGCTCTTAAAGGGCCATTGTTCCAACCCTTCCCCTAGAGTCTTACCTCATACTTCTATGGAGGCAGTGTTTCCAGGCCCATTCTATCCCAGACAAGGGAGGTGAAGGTCACAGACAGGCTGACAGTTGAAGGAGACCTCCAAAGATGTCAGGGGAAGGGGTGTCTCTCTTGGACCCTGGATTAGGCACAAACCATGTCCAAACCCCTGTTTTCACAGAGAGCCTTAATTAAGCAGGAGGTAGAGGGGTTGGGTGAAGATGGGGTGAGGGGATTTAAAATTACTGCTTTGTGACTCAGGCACCAAACAGCAGCAAACTACCTTGCAGGTGTCGTTTTTGTTGTTTTTCAAGCCCTGTCCTGGAACACACTCTGTAGACTAGGACAGCCTCGAACACAGAGATCTACCTGCCTCTGCCTCCCAAGTGTTGGGATCAAAGGTGTGTGCTGCAGGTATAATTTTTAAGAGGCGAGAAAAAAAAAAAAAATGGGTTAGGATGTGGTGGTAAAGGAGATGGAGGATGAGGGGGCATTTGTCCTGGAGGGACAAAAGACTGCCTCTGGATAGAGAGGGGACATAAGTGGCCCACAGGAAAATGGCGGTTTATAAAGGTAAAGGGGGAGCCCCGTATTCGGATGATGACGTGCTTAGTTTTAATTGGGCATGCTAATTAGGTGAGGCATGGATTCGGGTTGGTTGCTGGATTTCAATTCTTTGATAGCTGGACCTTGGTAGTCAGCGACAGGAGGAGGAAGTGGCCAAATAAGGTAATAGACCTTGGGGGTTAGAGTCAGGAATGTAATCTAACCGTTTTTTAGCAAGGCAGAGAGAATGGGAAGAAGGGCAAGGCTTGCCAGAGCCAGATGCTAAAGCTGGCTAGTGTCGTACATGTTCAGTGAACTGCGTTAAAATGGAGGGAAAACATTTGCTGGGTGTAAAAAAGGGAGTGAGATGAAAATATCCATTCTGGGCAAGCATGTAGGTGCGAGGCTGTAATCCCAGCACTAGAGACCGAAAGGTTTGAGTTCAAGGCCAACTTGGGCTCCGCAGAGGTACCCAGTCTCAAAACAAAGAACAAAAATCCCTCCGTTCTTCCTCCTCAGGGCTACTTTCTGGAGTTCCTGTGCAGCGGGGTGAGGTGCTTGCTCCTCTAGGAGTTAAAATTGGAAAGAGGCATGGAATGCATGGCTGGCCGGTCCGCTTTGGGTGTGCTGGGCTCCGGTACCCGGTGTCAGGCCCCTTATTCCGGGTAGTAGGGTGGATCTCTCAAGGGCGCTCCACGCCCTGCGTGCACCCTGATCCCTCCACCGCTCCAGGGATGGTGTAGCATGCCACTGAGCCTAGCCGAATCCCGGGACTGGAGCGTGGGAGCAGAGCGGAGCTAGGGTCATCCAACAGCACCTCTTCTGGAAGCAGGCCGCAGCGAGGGGGGGGGGACTGCCCTACAGCCTGGGTGCTCGCTCCTCCTCCTGTCCCCTGCGCACCCCTGTTCTAGCTTCTGGAGCTCGCAGAGTCTCGCTGGAGGGAGGTGCGCGCTCACCGAGACCAGGACCGGTCAGCTTCGGTGACACTATGAATGGCTCAGACAGCCCGGGGGCCCAGGACACGAGCCAGGAAGGCGGCAGCGGCGGCTGGCAGCCCGAGGCGGTCCTCGTGCCCCTGCTTTTCGCTCTCATCTTCCTCGTGGGCACCGTGGGTAACGTGCTGGTGCTAGCTGTGCTGCTGCGTGGCGGCCAGGCGGTCAGCACCACCAACCTGTTCATCCTCAACCTGGGCGTGGCCGATCTATGCTTCATCCTGTGTTGTGTGCCTTTCCAGGCCACCATCTACACCCTGGACGGCTGGGTGTTCGGCTCGCTGCTCTGCAAGGCCGTTCATTTCCTCATCTTCCTCACCATGCATGCCAGCAGCTTCACGCTGGCCGCCGTCTCTCTGGACAGGTGAGCGAGCATTCCGTTGTATCCAGGCAGGGGCTTGGCCTGGAGCCGCCACTCAGGGATCCAGGAGGGATGCGCAGAGTGGGTGAGAACACTGAAATCACAGTGGCAGAGGCAGGGAAATGCAAGCGAAAGAGGGAGCGGAGGAGAAAAGGGAGTGAGTCGGTGACTAAGAGCGTCCCTCTGTTAAGTAGGTCCTCGGACCTCCGAGGCTGGGGAAATCAGCTCCCTGGAGTCTTCACATTATTATTGCTTGAGTTTAATGCCTCTATGGAACATTACCGTATTCGGTTTACAGACAAGAGCTAGTGTGTAAGTAACTTGCTCGGGTAGTCAGATGGTAATTGAGTTCTGTAGGGAAGCATCTGTTTCTTGGCGCCAAACTCACTCGGAACCTGGATCTCTGTCTGGCGCCTTAGGCTTGGGACTGGGCTGTTTGGGGAGGACCCACGCTGAAGTCCAAGAGAGCATGAGTGAGAGCTTCTAGCTGCTCCAAAAAACGCCAGGTCAAGGCTGCCAGCCAGAGAAGCCAGGGGGTTGATGCTCTCCTCTAGCAAAAGGACAGAGAAAGAACCTTCCTGAATGCTCTGGAGGGACCTTGGCTGGAAAAGACACTAGGAGCAGGTCCTGGGGAGGAAATCCCGGTCCGAAATTGGTTTGTCCCTCCCCACGGAAGAGCAGTCAAGAACGGCCACGATCCCCACTCTCCTCCCATTTCCACCGAGTGCAAGGCGTGGGTCCCGAGCCTGCTAGTGGGATGCACAGAACTTCAGCATTGCCCAGGTTGTCTGTCAGAGCCTCGGGCACTAGGGATCTTCCTTCCCTATGTTGTCACTAGAAGGTAATAATCTCTGACCCCAGGAGTCCAGGCAAATTCTCTGACTTTTTGTCTTCGGTGATTTCGGGGTCCCCTTTCGAGTAGAGAAAGTCAGTGGCCGCATTCCCAGGGACAGCCAATGAATGGCCTAGACTCCTGCTACCAGGACCTGTCTTAATTCTAGGATCAAGTAATCACAGAAGCACTGGGCCTGCCCTCCATAGTCCATATAAAACCTGTCATCAGTGGCCTTCTTCCAGAGCTAGGGTAGGGTTGCCGGTGGCCTGGCAGTGAATCCTCTCGTTTACCCGACAATCCTTGCTCCCTGTTCCACAGGTATCTGGCCATCCGCTACCCGCTGCACTCCCGCGAGCTGCGCACACCTCGAAATGCGCTGGCGGCTATCGGGCTCATCTGGGGGCTAGCACTGCTCTTCTCCGGGCCCTACTTGAGCTACTACAGTCAGTCGCAGCTGGCCAACCTGACTGTGTGCCACCCAGCGTGGAGCGCGCCTCGACGCCGGGCCATGGACCTCTGCACCTTCGTCTTCAGCTACCTGTTGCCAGTGCTGGTTCTCAGCCTGACCTATGCGCGCACGGTGCGCTACCTCTGGCGCACAGTCGACCCGGTGGCTGCAGGTTCGAGTGCCCAGCGCGCAAAACGCAAAGTGACACGCATGATCGTCATCGTTGCCGCGCTCTTCTGCCTGTGTTGGATGCCCCACCACGCGCTCATCCTCTGTGTGTGGTTTGGTCGCTTCCCGCTCACGCGCGCCACTTACGCGCTGCGCATTCTTTCACACTTAGTTTCTTATGCCAACTCGTGTGTCAACCCCATCGTTTACGCGCTGGTCTCTAAGCATTTCCGCAAGGGTTTCCGCAAAATCTGCGCAGGACTGCTCTGCCGCGCCCCGAGGCGAGCCTCAGGCCGAGTGTGCGTCGTGGCGCCTGGCAACCATAGTGGCAGTGTGCTGGAACGCGAGTCCACAGACCTGACACACGTGAGTGAGGCAGCGGGGCCCCTTGTCCCAGCACCGGCACTTCCCAACTGCATAGCCTCGAGTAGAGCCCTCAATCAAGTCTGTTAAAAGATCAAAGGGCGTCGGCACAGTGTGACCTGAGGCCAGCTGGGGTTATGCTTGGATGTTGATGGATTGCAGCAGCAGACTGAGCACTGTAGGGGATGTCCTGTTATTAAACCGCACAGATTGCTAGAGTCATGTGACATAAGCCTTCAGTCCGAGCACTTAGGAAGCTGAGGAGGAGCAAGCAAAGCCAGCTGTGGAGTCTGAGGTCCGCTAGAACTACACATGATAGTCTGAGTAATAATAAAGCGAAAGGTTCAAGCCATCTCATATGCCGTGATGCCTGTAGGATCTCGGTCACGAAGCCCCAAGACTGGGGCAAAAAGTCTCTGGGACTTTACAGGCTGCAGGAGGCTTCTCAACAGCAGGGCATGGGGTGCTTAGCTTAGCTACTAGAAAATTAAAGTCCCTAACTGAAGCTGGGGATCCAGTGATGCCTAACACAAGCCCCCCCCAGGTGCTAACTGTACATAATCTGTCATCAGCCAATTCATGTGACCACAACAAGCAACAGATTTGAGTGACAGAAGTATCACTTGTGCGTCCAGCTTTTTACGCATGGTCCCATGAAGGGCTCCCTGAGGCCTCTACATCTTGTTGTCCTGACCAGTGCTCCAATCTTGGCCTTACATTTGCTTTCCTGCCTACAACTGGGCAGGATCAAGTACCCAGCATTTTAATTCCAACAGGTTCCACTGCACATACACTACAGTGATGATGCTACGTACTTCCAGTTGGGGCAAGCTAATTTGGCAGAACGGGATGCCCAGGTTTCAGTCACTGGTCACTACAGTCCCCGGGTTCTTGATCCAAGGCACTTCATATACAATAAATTTAAGGAGCAGCAAGGACAAAGATGTCTCCATCACACTTCATGGGAGTGGGCTGACTTTGGCCAAAGGCACCACTAAAACACTCAGCCTGCACCCCAACCCTAATCGGGGCTTGTAGAAGAGATGCTTCAGTGGTTAAGAGCATCTCTTCCAGAGGTCCTGAGTTCAGTTCCCAGCAACCACATGATGGCTCACAATCATCTCTAATGGGACCTGATGCCTCTTCCTGCATGCAGCATACATGGACAGAATACTCATACATAAAATACATACATTAAAAAAAAAAAAAAAAAAGGAAGGAGACGAAGATCCCAGGCTTGCCTCATAGGGCAGTGTGTTCCAGTGCTGGAAATGCAGCAGGAAAGGACACCTAGGCAGGTGCAGAGGCTAGGGCTGGACCCCGAGCTTTGTCTCTGGGTGTTTGTGGAACTGGATGGGAGACGTATGCTTAGTCCAAACCTGAGCCCTTGCACAGAGCAGCTGCCTCCATCCGTGGCTCAGTACTCAGAGGTTGCAGTTTAGGCCCCACTGTTCTGCCCAGACAGACCCTGATGCTGGCTCTGTGTGTCCAGCTCCATCCAGGCTTCTTCCAGCTCGTGGTCCATAAGTCCAGCTCCCAGGACTCAGCAGTTGGTAGGTAGAGGGCTTAAGGTTTTAAGTGTTAGGATTTGGGCTCTGAGATAAACATGACTTTGTCCTTCAGCCTGGCCATCCTTCTCCAACCTCAACTCAGCCCTGCTGCTTCCAGAGGCCATCCAGCACACCCGAAGTGGGACTGTTTGTGTTCAATGTGTTTAATGCAGCGAGTGCCCGGATGATGCAGGAAGGCTCAGGGCCCAGTGCCAAACTGGGAAGGGGGCAGGACTCCGCCTTGGCTAGTGGCCAACACAATGTGATGTCCCCTTCCAGCTTATCCTGCAGCTTGGTGTCCTCTGTGTTGATGCTAAGGCTGGTGAGCTCCCACCTGGGGGATGGGAACACACTCCAAACGGTAGCTCTCGGTGGAGAACAGGCTTCACTGGACCCCTTTATCCCTAGTCCTGGCTGGGTGCTCGTCTAACGTGGAATGTCAGGGTACGTCCCCGCATGAAGTCACACTGCCCTGGGATTTGCTCCAGACACCCAGACTCACCGTGCAGGAAGTGTGGGGCAGGGATTTCAGGTAGGTACCACATAAACCCTCCTCCTCTAGATGCCTCTTAGGGAATATTTCCCTGCGGGCTGCTACCACAGTAGCATGAGTAAGAATCTCTCTAGCAGAACCCTGATGGGGCTGGCAAAACTGGAAAAGAGGTCTCCCCTGTCCCAGAACAAGGATGGGCTGGGCTCTGGCTTCTCCCTGTGGGCAATGGATGGACTGGAAGGTCCAGACCCACAGGCCTGAGCGGACCAGGGTGACTCTGAGCTCATCCATTTCCTCAGGGACCGCAGTGACCATAACCTTTTTGCACAGAACCCAGGTGTGGGACTGGGTGGGATGTCAGAGAGGCTGGTCTCCAGTCCAGCAGGGCACGGGGCTCTGTGGCCCAGGAGACCAGCATGTACCACTCCCCACCCCCACCCCCAAGGGCAGCTGCATGGAGCACAGAGCAGCAGAGTCCACACCTCCCACCAGGTCAGCCCCTCTCCAGTTCCCTGGGGCTCTTCCCAATTCTCTATGTCACAACCTCAGCTATTGGAGCTGCCCCACAACAGCTGGTTCCTGTTGCTTCGTGCTTTCCTCCCCAGGACGACTGCATTCCGCAGCCAAGGCCAGGCTGCCGTGTCTGGGCCAGGTGTGCCAGACTCGGAGGCTCGTTCCCAAAGGCAACTGAAGGGGCAGCTACCCAATACATGTGCACACACTCACAAGATGCCAAACTTGTGTGCCCGGGAAAGGCTACCGGCGCTGCCCTCTGGGCTCTGACATTTCCGGTGTGAGATGGTGGACAGAGAGGAACCTGATATCATGTTCCTGCCACCGAGGAGCTGCCACAAGTGCATTTATTCCCACAAGGAAAGCTTGTATCTGAATCTAAGGCTCTTCTCTAACTGGAGGCCATCTGATGTGCTTTGAAAGGCCAGGGAAACCTTGTGGATTAGCTCCCTCTCCCACCTGCCCTCAGAGGCCAGCAGAAGCCTGTAGCTTCGCTCCAGGCTCTCCCCCTAGTTCACAGTTTGCATCCTTCAGCGATAGAGCTGGAGTTCCAGGCCCGTGTGCTGGAAGAGATTGTGTCAGAAAGAACAGGCAGTTCATGACTTGAGAGCTCAGGTCCCATTCCAGTATCCCATGCCCTGCTTCCAGATGACCTCAAGTCCACCTGGGAAGAGGCTGGCAGAGGGGACAGGGATGGCATATGCCCGGAGGCATGGCAGTGTCCCTTCTGCTCTGTCCACATCCCAGGAAATGCCCTTTTCCTTCCAAGCTGACCCCGTAGGACACAGGACTCAAGTCCATCCTGGCAGGGGTGGTCCTCAGGGAGACGATGTTGTTAGCTGACGTGTGTGAGGGTCTGCTGTCCTCAAACCAGAGTGCATTGCCTTCCACACTTCCCCAGTGCAGGCTCTGCCCACTTCTCCCTCCCACAGTCCACTGCTCAGCAGGACCTGTGCTGCCGTCCACCTCGTCACCAAGACTAGCTCGGCTCAGCCTGTGCCCGTTTACTTCACCTGTTGCTGTTCTTCCTCAGCACCAAGGCTGCTGTCTAGATACAGCCTTGGAGGCGAGCAGCCCCAGCCCCATGCCCAGAGGGGCACTGAGTGACGAGAAGAGCCCAGGACCGTGTGGAAGGCAGGCAAGGGCTAAGGCCCATTCTCAGAGTGCGGGATCACCAGGACTGAGCAACTTTCTTCCTCGTGGATGTGGCCAGAGTGCTGTGTGGTCAGCTCGTGGATGTGGCTAGTCTGGATGTGGGACATGTTCAAGACTGACCCAGCCCCTGGCAAAGGCAGTCTCTGGGTGACTGGTCCAGGCCGTGACAGAGTGGGGCCTAGGGTTACAGATTTAAAGGTGCAGCACAGTTCCTATAGCTAGGTGAGTTAGGCAGTGTCTGGAGAGAGGTCAGCTCCACTCTGACAGGAGGCTCATGCACCCTGAGCTCCTCTGAGTATAAAAGCAAAACAAACCATCACCCAAATGCACCACAAGGCCTGCCCTTCTTGAACACAGCTGTTCACTGGCATCCTAAGAAGTGCAGCTCAGCTTCACCCTTGCAGTCCCCCACTCCGCTCTTGAGTCGCTCTCCTTCACCCATCAGCTGCCTGTCTCTCATGCATTCAGCCTAAAGACCCTGCAACCATCACTGCATGTCCTGGGCTGGGAGCATGGAGGCTGGGGACCAGGGACAGATGCCTGACATCTGGTCCCACGGAGCAGTGCAGAGCTCTTCCAAACAGTGTGCTAGATCCAAAGCCAGAGACAGAGCCCTCCTGCCTCTTGTCACCAATGAGTCCAAGAGAGTAGGTCAGCACCGACAGCCTTTCCTCTAAGTCTGACGGCGGCCACTTGGCCTGTTCTTTGGCCTCCTCACATCTGTGGGCTGAAGAGGATGGAGGGGGCCGGGCGGAGTCTGCCACCCCATTCTTGTGCCCACATGGCAGCTGGGCTTCCTTATCTTTTGCCTCAGAAGCCATCTTGTGGCCCCTGCTGGATGCACTCCATCACGAAACCCCAGGTGAGAAAGGACCCCACACGCTGGGTGAGCGCTGCTTTGACGGGAGGTGTAGGCCAGAGGAGAGATGCAAACACCAGGAATAAGGCTCCTGGGTGGGGCACAAAGGTCTCTGTTGCAAAGGACTTCAAACCCACCTGGCCCAGAGGTATGTTATCAGTCCGATGGCATGTGAGTCAGGTGCAACTAGGCAGAACACTGGCAGGGTTAGGCAGAGGTGTCGAAAAGGCGGTCAATCATGTCGCCCACCTGCTCCACACGGTACTTGATGTACTTCTCAGGGTTCTTGGTGAAGGGCACGTTGCCATACCTGACCAGGCACCGTGGTAAGAAGTCAAGGGGAGGGCATTTCCACCCGCAGCCTAAGTGTTTGCGCCCTTAACACCCTGAGGTGTGCTAAGACAGCAGGGGTGTCCCTGGATGAAATTCCCAAGCCCAGAGCACCTGGAAAGCGGGCAGCAGAGGCCCAGGAGGGGGGATGGGCTCACCTGTGCAGAAATGCCCCATAGGTCTCCTTGACAATGTTTTTCTGAGCTTGTCGAATCTTGTCCCTCTGCTCTGTGTCTGGAATGGCCCAGGCCTTCTGAATTTTGCACAGCTCTTCAAGGCCATCATTGAATCCCTGACCATCAAACAGTAGGAAGGAGGGACCAAGAGACAAAAGCTTTGTGTTTATGTTGCCACAGTGGCAGCCACCAGTGGGCAGGAGGGAGGACCTCAACTCACCTTGAATCGCTCCTTAATCACCTGCCGCTCCTTGTCTCGGAGCTGGGGGTCCAGAGAGCAGAGGGAGGCAGCGGAGAAAGCT